TTTATTAACTAATTTAATATTTACACAGACAGACATGCGTATTTTTTGCTATTTTTTGCTATTATTTGTTTTTTGTTTGACTTTGCAAAGCATTCATCTAAAATTAAAAAAAGTATTTTTAAATAAAATTTTAAATCTCATAAATTGTTTTCACACACATTTTAAATATTTAATTTGGTTAAATTCTTTATTGAATTTAACACAAAACTCATGTAATATGCAGGCACGCACAGACTCACAAAAACCCACACGAACTTAAATATTTATGCATACATACATACACGCCGCAATATTATGGAGCATATAGGAGCATGAATAGTACAGTACGTATAAACGTTTAACTTTTGACGATGCTAGTCAACAAAAAACTCTTTTTATTTATATTTTTTTAGAACAATTTCAGCAGAAGAAACTTTAACGAAAAATTAATTGAAGACAACAAAAAAAAAAAAATAAAATAAAAATCAGAATTACAATAACACAAAAAAGGAATTAACAGAACTGTAATTGTTTACAGTGTATGGTTTTCTAGTAGATTTTTGCCAGTGTTGAGAGTATCTTCAGAAAGTTTATGTGATTTCAGCGATTTTTTTTGTTGTGTGGATGATAGAAAGTTTTTATTTAGAGGAGTTGTGAGAATAGAATGAAAACCTTTTAGTGTGAGTGTAGTAGAGTGTAACAAGGACAAAATCTCAAAATTAGATTAGATTTATAACTAATAGTCCTATAGAATGAGTGAGTGTATCTCGCTAACGTCATCTGTATTATAACATATATTAAATTTCCATATAGTCTTTCACAACTAAAGCGGAGCTAAGAATTTAAACCTTTTATAATAATTAAGAAGACCTTAAAGATGTCGATTTCTCTGGTGCCTGTGATTTCATTATGGATTTTGGAAATTTCGAATTTTCCATTTTTTTTCATGTAAAAATTTTAAAGCCCAACATTCTGAGATTAAAACTTAATCGAAGTAGATTACAAAATTATATAATGCACGGAACAATAAAATTTATCAAAAAAAATTGTTAAATTAACGGATCTGGGAAATTGGAATCCGATAGTATTAAAACGAACTTACATCTCTTACATGCTTTACGAAATTTGAAATTACTTTTTATCTTAAGAAACAAACTATAACTATAAAAAATTACAAAACATTATGATAAATAATAATATGGTCGTCTCTGGAATTAAAATCCTACAGTACTGAAGAAATACTTTACGAATTTACTTCTCATAAATGATTGATCGCTCTAGTGACTACTAAATATTTAGTAAGCAAATAATTAGGGTAGCAAAAAGCCGCGGGAGTACTTTTTATGTACCGGGAACCTCATATACTCATATAAATAGAAACTTGCGTAAAAAACGTTTTTGGTGTAAAATCTGAACAAATATGTTCCACCCTACATATCTGATATAGCTTCATCTTACTTTTTCTGTTTCCGAAATTGAAGTTGCCAGTTCAAAGAAAATGTTTTGAGCTATATGCAGTTATAATATGAAATTCGTGGAAGAAATTAAATACCACAAATAGATCGTCTTACGAAAAATGAATGACATAATTGTATTGCACTTAATGCAAAATAAATATTTATATTATTGCCTTTAAAGGAAAAAAGAGTTGAAGATCATAGGTTCAAAACTCATACACATCTAAAAAATGATGAAGTTGAAGTAATGAAGTGCAGACATTCTAATAATAATATTGCAAAAACATTACTTGAAAAACTTCTTATATAGAGTTTGAGATAATATTTTTCACTGCCTTCTTTATCGATAGGCTGATTTTATTGAACACACGAAAGTTCTGATAAAAAGGCCAAGGTCTGTTTCACTAATCTGGAGGACTCACATGGAATTCTCATTCTTGCTGACATGCTTAGGATTCTATGCTACTATGTTATTGTATTCCATTCCCCTAGGCCATTTTCCGCTACCATGTAAAAATTCCGTAGCTTTTCCTATGGCCATAAACGACAGACCAATAGCAAATCCAATCTGACGCCACCTCATTTCCTTTTTAATGTTTCCATACTTTCATCGCGAGTTGGTTAAAGTCCGTCACATCTGATACCCAAATCCATTTGATCTATTTACTCTTTGTTTTTGTTTTTAGTTTATAAGTAAAGCCGACTTTAAATCTCTTTTCAATTAGTTCTTTGTATAACCCGCCCTCGGGATGACGTTAAAAAACTCGAAACGTTGACAATAGATAATTATAAAAAATAATTAAAAATATTTATACATGATATGACTGTTTTAATTTTTCAGAAATTATGTTCTCTAAAGTATAAAAACATACACAAATTCGTTTCGTCTAACAATATAGTTTAAGAAGTAAAACATTAACCTTCACAATATGGTTTGTGTTGACAGTTAGTCATAATATTGATTAGTCATTTGCCATCGTTTGACTTGGATGACTATTTCATAAGCTTTGGCATTTCAGTGATCCCATAACGCTATGAAGTGTTGTGATTCGATTCCTGTCTGAGAGGACCTTTTGAGTCCGAGTCAGTTCTTCTCTTTCTCCCTTTCTTCGCTTCCCTCTTCTGTCATTGCAATATAATGTGCAAATATATTAAATAATTGTTATTGTTTATAAGTTTTTTAAAGTAAAATCAGAGAAATAATATTATATTAAGATTTTGACATACATGTTTTCATTATATTTTTAAAAACATCTTAACCGTACAGATGATGTTTTCTTAGCGTAGTAGATTGGATGTAGAACTGAATGATACTATTAAATTGGAGTGATTATATCTAAATTAAACGATTATAGTTGCTTCATAAATTAAATATTATCTTTGAGCTCTAGTATATGCTCGAATATTATGAAGTTACTAGCGTCACCATAGAAGGATTGATGATGGCTGCTTATGAATACACTTTTTCGTTCATATATAGAATATATAGAATTTCCAATACATGCATATTTTTATAAAGCTTCCCTTTAAAAAATCCAACTGATTTTGAAATTTGAGGCTTAAAAATAATATTCAAGCAGTTAAGGCACAAGAGGCATTTAGAACTGTTTGAGTCTGAAGTCTGAGAAACTACTACAGTGTTTCTGAACCACAAGTTCGTAATATATAACTTCTTAAAAGATTTTCATATAATTTAACATAAAACTTAAATTGATTTTGAAAAATTTATATTTACAATTTTAATTTGATTAATTTCAAAATATTTAAACCTTCTATTTTCGTCTCTTTACGATATGGTTCGTAAAGAGGAAATATTAGTATCTGTTTTTGTAAAATATTTTAAATATTCTTCCCATCGGAGTACATTTTGGGTTAAGGAACTCTAGTATATAGTAATAGGTCAAAATCGAGAATGAATATATATCTGTGTTTTCCCAGACATATATTCTGTATATATATGTTTTTTATTTATATATATGTAATGCTTAAGTGCGCAATAAAGAGAACCTTCACCAGATAAGTGCTGGGAATAATAATATTTTAGACGCCTTTGGGTGAAGACTAATACAATATTATAAAGTGCATTGATTGGCTCTGTTCATTAGAACTTTCAAAAAAATGTACCAGTAAGGTACGTGCAAATACAAAATCAAGTAGTAAAAATCCTTTCTAATATCAAGTTGAAAGGACAATAGATTGTTAATGCAAAGATTACCAATAAAAACCATGTTATCATGTGATGTGATGTGGTGATGATAGTTGTTTATATGATAGTTTCTCTATATGGTGTTCATAGCAATAATTGTTCTAACTGTATAGGAGTGTTTTGGGTAATAAATGTTTAGTTAGATATTCAAAAGTATGTACTAATTGCAACATATCTTAACATATAATCACTAGTGTATAAAAATAAAAGAAGTAAATGTAAGATATGTATATAATAAAATGTTAATAACTTTAAATATAGATAGATATGACATAAAATATGTAAGTAGTGTTTTTTATATAGAACTATGTATGCTTATGTAAATGTGTATATCATATAACTATTCTCTGTAATAAGAGATACTACAATAAATATGTAGGTATATAAGTATTAATTATTTTTGTAGTTCAATGACTTGTAAGCTATAATACTCGTATAGTTAATGTTAAGTTAAAGTTATTGTATCTGTATATGGTTTGTTTTAAATAAAAGTTTGTTATCATAATAGAATAAAAATAGGAAATGGAAAAAATTTGACACAACAGAAGTCTTAACTTATATACTGTTAAAAACAAAGTATATAAATAAATTTTAAATAAACAAAATATTTATATAAATTATTGCTAAATTGTTCTTCTTTTACAAATTCAAATTTAAAGAAAAAAATATTTAAAATATAAGCAGATACATTTCTTAAACATTTTCACAGCATTTACAAAATTTTATTGGAATGTTTATTAGGGATATTTTGTGAGGAATTTAAGTAGTTCCAAGGAAATTCGCTACATAATTTTGTTTAAAAAAATTTTAAAGCATACATGTGGGCGTGTCTTTGCATATATTTACGCTTTAATAAACTTTACCTTGAATTCCGCTTATGCATAAATTATTGTTGTTGATATAGTGTTTAGTGTGTTTTATGGCTTTGGAAATATGTCTAGGAATGGCAGGAGGATGTAGGTACTAAAGAATTTTAAGTAAAAAATTTATTTAATACTACGAAAGCTTTCATGTATTTGCTTTTTATGTTATTTTACTTATAATTATATGTAAAAAATATTATTATTATTTATTAAACAACTTTTACTTAAACTTAAACCATTTTTATTTGTAATGGTTCTATTAAAAAAGTTTTAATTCATACTACAGCTTAAAAAAAATTCGCACCTAATAGCATAATTATATTATATTATGTATATATTATAGATATGTTTGGTATATATATATATTTTTTATATTCATAAATTTGTGTACAAATACTTTTATTTTTGATTTGTTATATATATATAAATGAATATATTTTATATTAATATCTTATTAAAAATATATTATATTTAAAAATATTTAATTTTACTTACCATATTGTTTAGTACGGACGGGTATTGGAGGAGTTGTTGCACCTTCTCCACGTTGAGAACGCGCTGCAAGCCATATGTAGTATAAGGTATCAGGATACAAACCATCAAGCGTGTATGATTCAGTGTTTGAAATTCGCCTTCAAGCAAAAATATTGTAAAATATATTTAAAAATATTAAAATTCATTATAAAATTCATTTTAAAAATTAATTACTGAATAAAAAAATCTAATATTATATAGAATATAAATGTATGAAATGGAAAAAAATAAATAAATCAAAACAAAAAAAAATATATATATGCCAAAATTCATTAAGAACTAATAATACTGATTTTAATTTATGTTCATAGTGAAAGATATTAAAAAACAATAAAAAATAAAAAAAATATATTAATGGGTTTGTGAATCACAATAACAAAATTTTATTATTTATTGTGTTTTTTAGGCTGACCATACACCCCGTTTCATCAGTGGTCTTTGAAAAGATTCTTCAGTTTAGTAAATCCGTATGTAATACGAGAATTCACGTATTTTAACCAAACAAACCAAAGCTATATGAGTATATATTTTCGTTGTTCAAATTCTAAGCATTTCGCGTGCTTATAGACCCCAGTTTATGAAAACTGCTAGTAACTATTTTATATTTTTTAATATTAAATTTTACCGCATTATTCAAAATAAATAAGTTTTTATTACTTTTTATTAAAAATTTTTTTTTTTGGTGTTTTTTTTAATTTAAATTTTAAATCTATTAATATTGAACATCTATTGAATCCATTGAACGTGTTGTTCATTTGTAGAAGTAATTAACTTGCACTAGAATGTTCCAAATTAATTGGCAAATTATGTACATTTCTTTCTTTAGTCAGTTTAGAGAAGGGGCTATACACGACGAGTAATTCTGCTTCAAAGGTATTGTGTTGATTGCTTAATATACTTTTGTATTTTTCAATTTTAAGTTTTATTTCTCCCTCTACAAAAAATACTTTCAAATTTCTATGAGTAGAATGATTTGAGTCGAACCATGTAATATGTATCTCTTGAGTACATACACACGTTGTCCGTTTTACTTTCCGATATATATTATTTTATTAGCTACATTTAAGTGGTCTAGACTGGCATGTGTCCAGTAGTGTCTACTTGAAGCAGTTAAATGATTTCCATGTAAGAATTGCTGGTAGAAGTCGTTATTTATATGGCATAGATACATATAAGTTAAATAATGTTTTTGTACAATATCACTTCAATCCATATAATAGATTTTCAAATTTCTTTGAATTTGACAGTGTTTATTTAATAATGTTTATTCTAGGACACAATACTCACTATAAAAAATTTCCGGGGCATATAGATGCCATTTACTTCCTTGCTTTAGAATGTAGAGTTATTATTTTGTGTTGTCGAAGGTGAATTTCAATCGTTCAATTTTTTTATTATATATTTTATTTCCAATATATTATTTGGACTTTGCCATTGGCAGTGTAATACTATATAATTCAAACGCTTATACACTTTAATGAACGAAACAGACATATATTTGTTTATAATGTACAAAACGGTTCAGAAAGTAAACAGAATTTTTTAAGACCGGCATTTACACTAAAGACATTTATAGGAGTCAATAAATTTATTTCCCATATTTAGCCCACTTGGCATAATGCGTCTTCTAACTTTTAGGAAACACATATTTGTCAAGGAAAAAACTGCGTTTTGTGAATATAAAAAAGGACTTCTGTAAAGCTTGAAGGAGTTAGATACCCTAAAGGATATTCTGATCGACGTTTTAAAGTATTTATTGGATTTGTTATTCGAGTAAGATATCTGGTAGTATATTATGATTAACAATTTGAAAGATTTATGGTACATTTTTCTAGATGGTGTAAACCACTGCATTAAGTCAGAAGTAGACTATTTCGTTTAAAATAATTTCGTTTTGTCAAAAAAAAATTCTTAGCTTGAAAAAGTGCATATAAAGATATTATTAATATATATGCTAATATGAACGAATAATTTGCATTTTGATTTTTCATTGCAAACATTTCCTTGACAGTACTTTTTTTTTGAGGCATGCATATTTTAAATATAAATTTTTTTAATTTAAATTTTGATTTAGAAACAACTTCTGTTTTCTTTTTTATTATTTTTATAATTTTTTATTTTAATTCTACTGAATTTACTTGATTTTCTGGCAATTTATGTATCATTGGTCGTCCAATGTTTGTTTGTGCAAACATTCGGTGTCAATATTAAAATAAAATTTCAGAGGATATGGACTGAAGTGTACAGTACATCATTTTGCATACATAAAACCACAACTGTATCAATTTTTAAATAATTTTTTTAATCAATTTTAAGCAGTAAAGCAGCTTTCAATCCGAATCACCACAAATAATAAACAACGAAAAGTAATGCAATAACAACAAAGAATAATTAAAAAATAAAACAAATAAAAACAATTTTGTAAATAATACTCACTTGTGATGATCCTGATTTGCATATGTATCATTCCAGTATAATTCGTAGTGTACGATATTTTCACTAGAATGTGTCGGTTTCGACCACTGCAATGTGACTGCGGTCTCGCCGATATCGGTGGCCCGGAAATTACTAGGCTGCGATGGGACACCTGTCATAACGAAATACATATTATTGTAGTTATTGTAATTGTTGTTGTTTTCATTTTTATTTTTATTTTTATTTTTCTTTTTCGAAGTAGCTACTTTAACCATGTTGATGAAACGGAAATTAAATAAACAATATAGCGTTGCCATATTGAAAATAAAAAAATTACTCCTATATATACTCATAACCATAGACAAAATATGTACGATAAAGAAAAATTGATTATATGCTTGCAACTTTTTATACAATTTTTATACAATTTTTTGTTAATTTTTTAATGTTTTTAATTTTTTATTTTGTTGGTTTTAAAATTTTATTTTATGCTTACATCAAGTAAAATAAATTTAATAAATAAATAATAAATGCGTGTGATAAATGTATGTGTGGCAGTGATGTTGACGCGATAATCGGAAAATTTAATTAAGTTTATCCTTTCATTGTTCCAATTATTTTCATTTTTTATAGGCTTTCAGACAAAAGATTACTTGTTTGTTGTGTACTGGCATCTCTTTAATGTGAACTTTTTAAAGATTAAACCGAATGGATTTTGTGAAAAATTTAATTTAAGGTGAAATAAGGTTTAAAATTTATTACAGAAAAATATTATTACAATGGTATGAAGTTACATATAAATAATTAATTTTTGAATAAGCTTTGTATTAATTTTTAGCAATTAAAAATATTAAAACTTTGATTATGCAGTCGGTTCAAATAATATGTAATTATTTCCAAGTGTTAAAATATAAATTTATTAATAAGTATATCAATTATCACTAAAACACAAATTTAAAAAATATTTATTTAATTAAAATTTTCAAATAACCGTCTTTAGAATTTACATTAAATATAAACATTTTTATGTTTCAATAAAAAAAAATCTTTATTTTTATAAAACATTAAAGAAAAAATCATTCAAAGTGCTGTCCACCGGAGAGAATGACAATTTTTCCTCTTGATGCTGTATATGAATTTCTTGCCAAAAATCCATTTGACTTTTGAGGTTAAGTACGAATCAAGCCAATTTTCAATACAGTGGACGCTCGCAAACTAGAACCACTTTGTTTTTAAGGTAATTCTGATTTTTGGACAAATTTTTTATTCCAATATAAATAAGAAAAACTCATTAAAAAAAATACAATAGATTTCTTTTCTTACTTTATTTTATTTAATAAAACTAAGAAAACGAAACTAAACAATCTCGGGGGAATACATATAACTTGTATTTTTTAACTATATGCAACAAAACATAAAGCTGTACTCCAATTACATCACATATATTTTTTTATATAAAAGTGGAGTGTATTAAAAAAAGTTAAAATAATTGCGATAATGTCCAAAGCTAAGAAATTAATTCAAAGTTAATAGAAACGCAGACGGCATAATCGGCAAGTTTAAAACTAATCTTTCTGTGACATATATTCTCAGTTATATTTGTTTGTTTTTTTGGTTTCCTTAAAAATCTGTGGAGAGCCAGCAAATTGCTTATGTGCTTAGTGGAAAATAGTTCACTATTGTTGCATCATTTTATTAAATTATTAACGTTCTCAATGGCTGTCGGGTTCGAAACAACTGTTAAGACTTCAACAATATTGCATTCGCTTCTATCTAAAGACTCAAGATCACTACTCGGTTCATATGTAGATCCTTCATCATGCACATATTCTGAAGACTCAACATCACTACTGGGTTCATATGTAGATTCTTCATAAGCCGCATCTTCATTCCAGAGTTCAGATTTATTTCTGCTAAAAGAACAGAAATAACATAGATATATCCATGCAAAAAAAAATTGGTCCGTATCGCAAGATTGTTCCTTCTCAGACCACATGTATATAATTGTCGACCTTGATATGGCGTTATACTCTTAAATAAACAGATCATCCAAGCCAATTGATAGAAAACATACTAAATAGTTCATTTTCCGTTCAACCTTACAGTCCAGCTGACAGTTATGCCCAACTTTTTCGATATTGATCAGGAAATCAAACCCCTACGTCATCACTCAAATGCGACACAAATACGGACTGCAAGCTCTCTAAAATTTGGGACAAATTCAAGCCTCCATGCTAGAACCTTACTATTGCAAATATCCGCAAAACTTGCGGATAGATCCCCAGCTGCTGGAGTAGTATTCATTCCTAAAGCAGGGAGAACGGCACACTACTGGATTCTAAAGTCAATTGTCATTCTAACTTGGTTGAAAAAGCCAGTAAAGCCACATGGGAAACTTACTGCTGTAAAAGAGTTGTAGGGTGCAGTTGCAATCTCCAATTTTGAATCATACTCATACTCATATCGAACCAATCCTTTTATATAAAGCTGCCTTTTCGTGGCAAGCCACAAAATTAATTAACAAAACAAGAAATTTAGCTGCTTGCATATCACTAGAGCTCTACGCTTCACCACCACGAAGGTCCTTTTCATCATGCTTCACTAGCTGTCACTGGCTTCTCGAACAACACCAAGCTTTTGCGCTTTTGCGTTGATCAATTATACGACACCAGGATCTGCTAGTCCCTATCTCAATTGATTACATGTGTTCTAAGCCAGACCTCAGCTCTCTAATACCTAGCTCAACTTTCTTGCACCTAGCAGAGAAGACTGGATCTTTGACAAAGTAGTCTCTTACAACACGGTAGACATTCACATAGGCCGCTCTAAATAGATGATCAACTCGGTTGTGGCATATTCTCTAGAAAGTCTGGTCTCAGTTTTTCTCTTCGCCTACCAAACCAAAGGAGAACTAATGACAATCCATTATGCAGTGTAATAGGTACTTGGTAATCAAATCCCTGGTGTTACAATTTTCATTTTTTGGGATACCTAAGCTTCCCTCGATGACTCAGCTAAGCGTATCAGGATCCAACTCATATGGGTTCCAGAACATAGAGATGTCTCTATCAATTTGTAGGGCAGTCAAGCTCTTCTCCCTGATATTTACTTCTCAATATGGGCGTTCCACTTGTTACAGCTAAGGTGGCAATCAAACAAAAATAATTTAGCATAGTCAAGCAATACTGTCAGATATTAGCTTCACTTGGTCTAATTTGGACAAAAACACACACTCGTCAGCTACTTCAACTAAGGCGGAACTTATTTAGCACTACGGTTTCTGTGCTGACGGGTTACTGTATAATAGGAAGGCATGTTGTTAGACTGTGTCTACTCTATGACAACTTTTAGTTCTGAGGATGTGGAAGAGACTGTGCTTCATCCCACATGTCAGTTTTCTCTTTAGCTAGAAGAAGATCCAAAATCTTCTGGACACCTTTTCTTACCGACCAGTCCGAACAGTCATCCTACAATATTATCGACTTATCCAAATTCATAGAACTGTCAGATTGGTTTATCTTTACCTAATCTCCCCCATTCTTTAACTTTGTCGGCGTTGGTCGTGTACTGGGTTTTTAGTGTATGTACAAACCAACGCTCAAGTGTGCATTCTTGGATGCAAGGCTTCCACTCACACCTATCTACCATACTATTAATTAACTTTTTCAATAAATTTACATTATCGGAATTAATTTGATAAATTTTATTTTTTGTACATAATTAAAGCTAAAGAGGTACGTTAATTGATAACCTTAAATATTCTAAGAATTTCAATTGGAAAAATAGTTTTATATTGTGTATATTTTCAATAAAAATTGTTGAAATAAAAATGTATTTAATAATAAAAATTTTTTTTTTGAAAATAAAAATAAAATAAAAAAAGTCGGTTGATTGTATAATATTAACAAATTGAAATGCATTCGAGTCCATTTCAATGAATTATTTAAATCAATTTATTTTTGTGCTAAATTTAAGTGTTTTTCTTTATAAATTTCATTTATTAAAATGTGGAAGATTTGGTCAATCAGTTTACGATGATATGACGAGAATAAAAAAAACGCAATCAGTTAAATACATTGTACATCCAACACCATTGCAAAATAAATCATTGCACTCCACCTAATATAACTATATACATCTGTATATCTGCATCTGTTCATACCGATGTACCAATTATTCGCACCTTTTTTTCTAGTAAATATTTAAAATTTTGTGTAATAAAGAATTCCATTTCTCATGCATTCATTTTTATTGTCCTCTCCAACACTGTCCAGTGTTTACAGCAGGAAATTCGTATGCGAAATTTCGTAAAAACGAATTTAAAAATATATTTGTTTTGTTGTTGGTGTTATTATTGTATACGAAATAAAATGGAATCATATTAACTGTAATTTCCAGTGACAGGTACCCACAGCATACGTGTACGTTTTTATATGATTGCGGGTGTATGTTCCAATAAAACGAGGCGCTACAACAATAACGGTACTGATTGTCAGTTTTACATTAATTTTACTGTTCCTGGCAGCGTTGCCTGATGTTGCGCTTGTTTCATTTTCATTTCACAAAACTTCGTGCACTTAACGTGAACTTTTAACATAAATTTAAGCTTAACGAATGCATAAATAACAGCCCTGGCGAACTATTGTGGGATGCTACACTTGCAGATTAAACCAAAGGACAGAATAAAATATATAGAAATTTTTTTAAAAAATATTATTTACTAGTTCTGTTTATGCTTAGGACAAGTTGAACCACATTCGATTATTTCATTTAACATGACAGCCTTAAGTGATCGAATATGTTCGAACTGCTTGAACAACTGATCTCCTTTATGTTTTGTTTTCCTTTCGCTTTATATAACTTTGCATATTATTTGCATATTGTTGTTGTTAGGTCTGTTCCACGAGCTACTCGTAGTAACTTTGAGTAACATTATGTATATATACTTGTATATATACAAGTGCGTTCCACCAGCAAATTTTTGAGTAAATGAGAGCATCAGAGAAAGCGTAACATCCCTGTTGAAATTGGAAGTCGAAAATTTTCGAACATTTAAAACATTCGAACATTAAGATATTCAAATAAAATATGATATTTGAATGTTTCTATTCAGATCCCTGTTTCAAACCCAATGCTCCTCGGAATCATTTTCCAGAAGATTTCCATACTTTA